ATTGCGTATTTGTATAAAATAAAATAAAATAAAATAAAATAAAATAAAATAAAACCCGAAATATTTAGAATTTGATAAAATAAAATAAAATAAAATAAAATAAAATAAAATAAATCTCGCGAAACATAAGGTTGGATAAAATAAAATAAAATAAAATAAAATAAAATAAAATAAAACATGGGAAAAGAAATATATGATAAAATAAAATAAAATAAAATAAAATAAAATAAAATAAATTCTGCCTTAAAAAAATATCTATAAAATAAAATAAAATAAAATAAAATAAAATAAAATAAATGTCATATGGTGCCAATTCGTATAAAATAAAATAAAATAAAATAAAATAAAATAAAATAAACCGAATGAAAACGCAACGCTCATAAAATAAAATAAAATAAAATAAAATAAAATAAAATAAAAATAATAATATGAAATTAAATATAAAATAAAATAAAATAAAATAAAATAAAATAAAATAAAGAAACAAAAAAAAAAAACAATATAAAATAAAATAAAATAAAATAAAATAAAATAAAATAAATAAAATAAAATAAAATAAAATAAAATAAAAAAGTAAAATAAAAAGAAAGAATGAAATGAAATAAAATAAAATGAGCTAAAATAAAGAAAAATAAAATAAAATAAAAGTAAAAAAATAGAATAAAAAAATAAATAAATAATATGAAAAGGAAATAAACAAAATAAAATAACATAAAATAAAATAAAATAAAATGAAACGTAATGAAATAAAACAATATAAACTAAAATAAAGAAAAAAATAAAATAAAATAACATAAGAAAAAATTAAATAATATGAAAACAAATTAAATAAAACTAAGCGCAATTAAATAAAATTTAATAACTTTAAATGAAATGAAAAAATATGAGGTCATCGTTCAGACCGTTTAATAGGAAGCCTTTATTTTCTGATTTGCTTGGATATGGATTATTTCAACAGCAGTAATAAGCAAAATTTTGATTGTTATCGTCAAAATGGGGGCATTGACCAAGAAATCGATTTAAATTTCTTCAGACGTTAAACTTTTGCAATTATCAGCGCATGGACGCGTGCTTTTAGCGTCACGTAACATTTATCTTCAGGTATGTATGTATACTGATTGGATCGTAATTTGGATTATACATTTATATTATAATAAATTTATAAAACATATATTTATAATATAATTTCAAATATTGATTTTTTTTTATAATCATATGGAACATGAGTCCATTTGCGCTAATAACTCAATCACAAGCAAATATGTGAGTATGTATCTATATAAGGTACAAGAACTTGAGAATAGTGATAAGCATTATCGGAAAGTTGAGATTTTGTAGAACATTGTCGCACTAATCATATCCCAAGTCAATTTGAGGAAATGATGAAAGGAGAATCAGATGGCGTAAAACTGCAAACTAGTAAAATCAGATTTTTCTCTGTAGCGACAAACTCTTGCTCTTCATAATGCGTGAATTTCCCCGGTGAATATGCGCAATAAACTCGACAAATAAGTTAAATAGTAAACTCTGATTATTTATTATTTGGCTTTGTGTCATCGCAGGTTACGCCAACAAAAAAAAGCATCATAAAAACCAAATAAAATGAAATAAAGTAAAATAAGAAAATAAATAAATAAAAAAATAGAAAATAATTAAATAAATAAAAATAAAATGAAAGAAAATCAAATAAAATAAATCACTTTTCGGAAGAAAGTCTGTTCCAAAAAAAAAAAAAAAAAAAAATCTGTAGGCAAAGAGTCCAGATCAGATCGGCTTATCATAACATATAAACTCTTCCAGAAAAGAACATGAAATTGGGTATTATACACTCATATCTGCAATGAAATTTTATCATCGAAAATGGATCACTATACCAAATAGCCCTCATACAACCGAAACGGGTAGATATGTGGTTTGAAGTAAAAATTCATAAAAATCGCATATAAAAGCGTTAAATTTGATGAGTTCATGAAAGGTTTAAAGACTTCGGTATGGTCGAAGACAGCACTTTTTATTTGTTATTAATTTATCAATAGGAAAGGCTTCTCTCAAAATTGGTGTTATTTTGATATTCAAAAAAAAAAAAATATTAAAATATTAAATATTAAAACTTATATTTATATTTATTTTTATATTTATATTTATATTTATATTTATATTTATATTTATATACATATTTATATTAGTTTTATAGTTAATTATTTATGATGGTAAAATTATATATATATATATATAATTGGCGCTTTTAACCGCTGAAATGATTTTTTCGGCCGAGCTCCTCCTCCAATATGTGGTTTTGCGAGGGACCTACAGTTTATACTAAGCCGCTCCGAACGGCTGATGGTTTTTTGACTAGGAGCCTTTATTTCAAGTCCGAAATACACACGGAGTGGTTGACATTCGCTGCCGAGAGGTGACCGCAATTACAAAATTTAACTTAATTTTTATTTAAATTTATTTTCGGTAACTTTTGGATATTGGTGGCGCTGGAATTTGAATTGAAGCCTTCCGAATGTCAGTAAGTAATACTAACCACTCGGCTATCACGCCCGCCAACGGTAAGAGTACAAATTAGTAAATTCTTGATATACTTGCAACTTGCGTTGAACTATTCGAATATTTTTAGCTTGTAGTGTGAGAATACATAGATTCAATTAACAACATAAATATGTACATATGTACATAGTACATAGAAGTGTATTTTATGAATGTGTAAGTATGTCTGATCACAAGGTAAGTAAAAAATTGTGCGTGATGTAAGTCGTATATTCGAAAGCATCTCGAAATTGACACAGTTGGCTAGCGGTTGAATGTTTAGTAAGGTGACCAATTGAAGAATTGTATACAAGTTAAAATCGCTAAAATAATATATGTATATTTGTCAAAAATAAAAATAAAATAAAACTAATTTATTGTTGAATAAGCTATGTAAGCAAACTTAAAGTAAACAATTTCGGAGAGCGATGTAAAATACTTAACAAATAATGAAATAGTTTTCAAAAAATTTTTAATCTCCATAAATTTAAATGAGCAACACATAAATAATTAAAATTCCTGTTTAATATATTTGTTGTAATATATTTAGCTTTTTTGGATATAAGTTTTAATTCTATAATCAATATTTATCCATAAGCCCTAAACTGCCAACCCTAATGCTGCGGCAGACAGCTGATTTAGCATCTGAGCTTGTCTTTTAGGCGCGGGCTTGGTCATTCTAGAACGTGACTGCACTTAAAGCGGGTGTGTCGCGCCAAAGCTAACACTTGTACGCAAACGAAGTAATAAATAGACATTAAACGGCTGTCTAAGTGCGAATTTGTTTGAAAATATTATTGGGCAGTGTAAGTGAAAATCAGTGCATTGACAAAAGAATATAAAAATTAAATCGAAACTAAATAGAGATAGATAAGTAGATGTGCATATGTATGTATGTAATACAAAAATTTCACATAAATAATCCTGCATACTTGCTATGTACAGCAATGACTAACATTTAAAAACTGTGCTAAAAAACTCGGTTAAAATACATTTGTGTATGTGTATATATATAGTAAATACAAATAAAAATGCTGGTCATGTAAAGATATAAAGATTTAAAGATAAATTAAAAATTTTATGCATTTGCTTATGTACACGTATGTATGTTAATAAATATTTTGCTTGCATTTACCTACCTGATTGACGTATGTCAATAATAGCTTGTTCATGATAAGATTTGCCATCATTTCACCACGACTGCGCCTAGACAGATATACGTATATACGTGTATTTATTTATGCATTTCATTTTATATAAATATACATAATCAACAAAGATCATAAAGCAATCAGACCTATGAATACATCAGATCGTAACAAGTACAAAAAAAAAAACGGCTAATTGACAATAAAAATATATAATATTATAACAAAAAACATACATACATATGTATTTGAAAGTCATAAATAACCGTTAATCTAAAAGCAAAGCCTGCTTTCGTATATAAGCCAGCTGTGAACGCTTTCCACCTTTCTTCAGCTACCACTCTCTGACCGATCAACAAAGTGCAAAAATATATTTTAGTTGTTTCTAAAAATATATAAAAAGTGATGCTAACTATTTAAAGGTTATTAAATGAACTGAATGTAGTTATTTGTGAATTTATGTGCGAGTTTGAAAGTGATTAATTTAATTAAAAAATTAATTCGAAATCCTCATTTATACATGTATGTATATGTTCTCGTATGTACGCATGGAACTCTCTTAGTCATACGAAATTATCCAAGAGAAATTATTATTATTTATTTACTTTTAATATCGTCCCCAGTGATTTTGAGCGCGGTGATTCAGTTAATATTTCAAGAATTTGTTAAATCCATTGTTAAGAGCTCACAACTATTCAACGGGGCAGACCCACTCATCACAAATCTCTACTCACCTACATACTTGCATACATATGTACGCTCCATAGATTCGCAGATCGCTTGCAATCAATGAATCGTATGCAACAACAACTCATCGACCGCTTTGCTTTTGATCTCGCAGCCGGTTCTGTAATTATTCGCGTTTCAGTCGTTAAGTTCGAACGTTGTATGCCGCCGCACGTACATAAACAATATTTTGAGCATTTAAAAAAATTTATACGCTTAAGAGTAATTATTTTCGGTTAATTTGTTAATAAATGAAAAAATAAAAAATAATAAAATAAAAATATAAATTTCTGTACAACAAATTAAAATATCGTTTAATTTTCTGTGTTGTTGCAGTCATTGAACGAATAAGTGCAGTGCCCCAGAATTGAGGAAGTGAATTAATTGAAAAGAAATCACAGTCAAATACAAAATAAATCAAGGAAGTAACAACAAATAAAAATACTACATTAGTTGGGCAAGAAAATAAATTACTCAACCAGCAACAGCAGCCATTCAGCATTCGAACATAAAAAGTACAAAAAATCTACCATACAAAGATGTCAACGCACGCCAATCGAAAACGCAAATTTATTTATAATTTAATCACAGGTGAGCCAAAACACTAAATGTAAAAACAGTTGCTTCTAAACATTAAAATATATTTTTTTTGTATATTAAATTCAAGTGTTGCACACCTATTAATTCATGCTCAATTATGTACTCACACGTGGAATCCCTTAATCTAAGCAATTAGTGCTTTACGACCGATAAGGGTAAAGTGGATTACAGTGTGCGCTAATATTTTAACCTTAGGTAGTAAAGCAGGATAGGCTAGTATTACTTTTATATAATTAAAAAAGGCTTGGTAAAAAAATAAATAAATAAATAAATAAATAAATAAATAAATAAATAAATAAATAAATAAATAAATAAATAAATAAATAAATAAATAATTAAATAAGTAAATAAATAAGTAAATAAATAAGTAAATAAATAAAGAAATGAATAAATAAATAAATAAATATATAAATAAATAAGTATTTCTTTTATTTGCCATGTCAGGCACATGTGGATTAATATTTATCTGCAATAGATGAGTTTAATTTCCCCTTTTTATTTAGGCAAAATGACGTTAGTGTTATTAATCATTGTTGTCTCAAGTGTTGAAGGAGCATAAAGCGTAAATGTGGTTTTAGTTGTCATTTCCGAGTACTCTAGATTGAGTAATATGTATATAGTGCAACGAGTTAACCGCAATTGCATTACAAGTACTTTGATTTAACAATTTTTTTAAAAAAATATTTATTAAATGTATAGAAATGTGTAGTTCTTTGGAAGAGAGGCAAAATTCAAGTGAATTAATTTAACTTCATATTCATTTTGTCTATGCACACGATTCTTGGTAAGGAAAAAATATTTAAATTTTGTAGCCGTATGAACAGCAATTAGAAGTGCATGACATTCATCAAACATTTCTCAGAATATAAATTTAGTTGGCAGCTTGACTTTCCGTTCAAAAGTTATACTTGTTTACTACGTGGTTCACCATTAGAGTTTTTTATAGGAGTTACAGCATCACAGAGTACGGTTAATAATTGCAAATTTGGAAAATGTAGTTATGCAGACTACAAAGACAAACCGTTGGAACGAGATATCATTGGCAAAAATCGTGTCGGTTCTGAAAGGTTGCAATGAAAAGTGATTAAATTTTTTATAAATATTCTATTGGTTAGAAAAATGCAAATAAACGAAAACGAACGAACTTAAAAATGAAAATGAAAAGTAGAGGGTTATACATTTAGTGGTTTCAAAATTGTAGGGCTGTATTTTGAAATCTGTCAGACTTAAGGGGTAACATCTGGACCTCTGAAAATGATGTTTTTCAAACATATTTCACAAGGAAACTCTTAACTTTATTATTTTGACCATTTGTACACACATTATGGCACCTTTAAAGAGTAGTTAGCATTCATAAAAATAACAGTTTTTGAAGCTGCTACAGCAGATTCAAGGGACCGTTCCAAAAAAAAGGCGTTTTGCGGCGACATTGTATTGCTGAAGTGAATCATCTGAAATGAAAAAATCAAATCAATTTCCTTAAATTAATGTATAATCTTGTGATTAATTTAAGGGTAAAGCCCAAGATGTTTTTCTTAATAAAATTCAAATTTTCTCCATAATTTTGGTCTTTAATTGCGCATTAAAATATTAAGTACTGGATAATATTGTTCAGAAGCCGGTGTAAAAATTTGATCGGTTCAGTCGTACCCGAGAAATCTTGGTCACCGACTAGAAAATCACAGTTTTGAGAAAAATGAGGTTAAAGTTGTCTAAAAAGCGATTGTAACTTTCATAAAACGACAGGTTGAAGAGGACATGATTTATTTCAACAGGGAAGTAGTATTAGAAAAATATATTTCAAATGATTCCGACAGCTCCCTAAATTTGTACCCTGTCTTACTTACTTTACTGGCGTAGACACCGCTTGAGCTTTTATAGCCGAATTTTTAACATTGCCTCATTCGTTTCTTCTATGCGCTGTTTAGCGCTAATTGGAAATACCAAGTACAGCCAGGTCCTCCTCTCCCTGGTTTTCTTAACGGAGTGGAGTTCTTCCCCTTCCACTGCTTCCATCGGCGGAAACTTATGCGATATTCGCCATTACCAACTCATGGTGGAACATAAATCTTTCGCGAAATTTTTCTAAGGCCGACTCATCAGCTGTTGTGAGTTAAGACGCACCATATAGTAGGACGGTAATGATAAGGGACTTGCAGAGTTTGGTTTTCGTTCGTCGGGAGAAGAATTTACTTTGCATTAGCAAGATAGACGAAATTATCTACGACTTCACCGTTATGACTGTCAATAGTGAAGTGGGAGCCAAGTAGAGAATGCGATGACTGTTTGTATGATGACAGGAGATATTTCGTCTTGCGCTCGTTCACTACCAGACCCGTTTGCTTTGCTTCCATATCCAGTATAGAGAAAGCAAAACTAACGGTGCGGTTGTCGAGGCCAATAATGTCGATATCAGCGGCGCACGCTAGCAGCTGTACACTCTTGTAGAAAAATGTACCTTCTCTATTCACCTTTGCAGCAACAAGTTGAAAAAGTCGCATGATAAGGAATCATCATGTCTGAAACCTCGTTTGATATCGAACGGCAAGAGTCAATATAAATGATTTAAAATACTATGATAGTAGAGAGTTGAAATATTTTTATTTATAAATTTTGTTGTGTTGATACTTTTGGATGATGCAAATGTGTACACATATTGACAATCATTTAAAATTGAAGTAAACAAAGTTAAAGACAAATGATAATAGAAGTAGGCAAATACTGAGTACAATGCATCAATATTTACAAAGCTCAAGTGTTATTTATTTGTTAGTAAGTATGTGTGCAATCTAGTAATATTGACAAGTTCTTACCTTTTGAAAGCGTAGAGGTCATGCAGATCGATTCTCAAAAACCGAAAGCAAACAAAAATTTTCTCAAGAAAAAAAAGACAGCCATTAAACAAAATCCTCCTGGGGCGTATTTGTAGTTGCGGAAAGGGCAAAAACGAGGATAGCGCAGCCGCTTGCTGATGGTTTGAAATATATGTGTGTTTAGTCTTTTTAGAAAGTAAGAACCGCATAGCTCACAGTTTATTTTAAGTGATTTTTGTTAGATTTTGCATATAAACGTATTTTAAAATAAAAAAAATGATTAATAATATTGAATTTTTATATTTAAACGTAGAAAAAGAACAAAGAATTGAAATAAAAAATACGCAAAAGACGACAATACGCGTTTTAATAAGCAATAAAAAAGTAGGCGTCTGAAAAAATCTCTAACCTGGTCAGCTTGGCAGGTTGCAATAACACAAAGAAAACATAAATGGTGTTTGAAAAGGAAAATTGGAAGCCTTATATTTGGTATGACATGAATTAAAGCATCAAAAGTATAGCTTCCACGTTACCTCATCGCTTTCAAGACCTTAGCCTTTGCTGCTGGGTATACAGATGTATATATGTAAATATGTATGCAAGATTTTCCCTTTCAAGTTTTTTTTTTTTATTTAGTCGATCACGCTTTGTGCAATGTGAATATTTACGATAAAATAGTAAAAATTCATTAAAAATATGCATGGACACTTAACGCGCCATCTCCAGTGGACACGATTAAAAGGGTACTCCAAATTTTTATTTTTCACATAAATTGAAGTTATTGCAGTGACCGAGCAGTGCTAATTATTAAGATATACAAGCATTTTATTAAGGCAAAAGCATGCCATTATTATATGAGTATATGCATTGAAATATCTACATATACACACATACACAAGTAAAAAGCTAATTGTTTAGATAAATAATTAAATTATATGAAGTGGAGCAGGTTGTACCACCTATAGATAAAATATATGTATGTACGTGTATATATTATATATGCGTAATGAATGCAAATTGTGTTCGTAAATAGTCATATATTTTATATGGCAATTAACGGTAGTTTATTTTGCCGGCAACATCACCACACATACCATCAAATCATCATGTGACAAACAATTAAGTACACACTCGTATTTGAATGAATACAAAAACTTGCTGATAACAGAAGATACTTCTCAAATTCTGTTATTTGTTGAGAATTGTTGACCTTTTGAAATTACTTTATTATTACAAAATAATGATTTGCACTATTTTGGTGCAAAAGTAACATTTTGAGCATTTATTGTATGGCTGAGAGACCCAATGGAGTGAAGAAGAAACAACTCGGTTCCCAATAGTTATTTAATATATAAATAATAATACATAAATTAGTCACTCGAAATAAAAAGGGAAACAAAATTTCATTAATTTTTCCTTTTATTTATATTTCAATCTTAGTAGGTGAATGTTTAGCAGGTCGCGCTACCGTGCGGACATTTTTAAGGGGCACACCTATTGTAATGACATAAAAAGGGTGATTTTTGGGAAATTTTATTAAAAAAAAAAAATTTATCAATTATTTCCAAATTTTAAGAATATATTTATACATGTTTCAAGTGAAATTTTTAAAGAAAAAAATTAAATATTTTTTAAGTTATAGTCGATCACCAACGGCGCGAAAAAAAGGTTCTTCACCGCCGAAATCTAAGAAAAAAATTCTCGATAAGATAATATTGTCTGTACAATGACCTACGATAAAAAAAAATCAAAAATCGACAATATGGCGGCGTTTAAAAAAAAATCGAATTTTACCCAAAATTTTGGTCGTTTTTTGCCTGCCAAAATTCGATTTTTTGAACAGATCAAAAATCGATAGGTCATTGAACGGAGAACTATATATAAAACATGTAAAAAAATATCTATAGTGATCGGATCATTTGCTTTTGAGTAATCACTGCAGCAAATTCGAAAGTGCTGTTTCGAGAAAAACGCGTTTAAAGATAAAATGATCGTTTTCACTCGTAGCTAATGAGACCCCCTAGCTACCGGGCGGCTGCCCTTTAAATTGCTTAACTCAAAAACTATTTGAGATATCGATTTGAAATTTTAATATGTTTTATCTATTTTTAAAGGTGTAATCTACCGAAATATGAAAGAGAGATCGATTTTTTTGAAATTTCACATTAGGTGTGCCCC